TTTAAATAAATAAAATAATTGTTTATATACTATTAATTTTGAAAATACAACAATTAAAAATGAGTAACATTCAAGTATGTTTTAAGGGTATACTGACATCCTTATTTTCTACTTAAATGGGAAATATTTAAGAATAAAACGAGTGAGTATAATCTAAGTACAATTCAGGTGTGATTTAAGGATAAAATAAGTACAAAATAAGTACATCCCTAAAAAAGCAAAACACACTTAAATTCACACTGATGTTACACTTAAACAATACTTAATTTCTACGCAAATTTAAGTATGTTTTGAGAGCATAATAAGGATATTTTAAGTGTGCAAACTTTGCATAGGGTATGTGTGAGACTCCACTTAATTGTCATGTGTAGCCAATAAATTTAGTCATCACGTGACTATTGGAACAACACTTTCTCAATAACGAATGCTCCCTATAACGAACAAAATTTTTCGGGACAGGGGTTCGGTATAGAGAGCTTTGATTGTAGGAAAATCCTATATACAGGACCTTCCTAATTTGGAAGTGGCACCTATGATCTTGCTAATTCATGTGCGTGATGAATAATATAATAAATTTTTATATAAATTTATTATTATTTAAAAAAAAAATAATGTCATCATCATTATCAATGGTTTAACAAATTATAAGGAAGTTGTGTAGGATATGGGGGCTGTAAAATGATACTGTTTAAGAAGTAAAAATAAAATTGTATTATCTTTACAATAAAATGAATGCTTCAAAATTTAATATTATTGATCTTCAAAGAATGACTCTTAAAATACAAATAACCAAAACCATCTTGTACAAAATATACAGAACTTATAGACGGAATATAGAACCCATATTATATACAGGACCCTCCTGTATATTTTCTTTATAAACGGAATATACAGGACCCTCCCTATATTTTCTTTATAAACGGAATATACAGGACCCTCCCTATATTTTCTTTATAGACGGAATATACAGGACCCTCCTGTATATTTTCTTTATAGACAGAATATACAGGTCCCATCTTGTATATGATGTTCATTCACCTTTTCAATTGTTTGATTATATTTTAGCATTCAATTATTTGTCATATATTGTTATTTATTGTTACAAACATATGGTTGAATTCAATTGGCCAAAGAAAATTAAAGTAAATAAAATAGAAGCTCTATAGGGGATCTTGTTGCTTTGTAGAGGACTGCATTTATTTATGGTTATTGGTACCATAAAATGTGCTTAAAGATTCACAAAGATTTCTAGGTACAGAAAGAAGCAGCAGGATAGTAAATAAATTTGCAAAAATAAATTAATTGAACATCAACTATTATTAATTTTACTAAAATTAATCATCACGCACACATATGAATTAACAAGGGTTCTATTAAAAAACATGCAGATCATAGGTGCCACTTCCAAATCAGGAAGGTCCTGTATATTCAGCCACAGGACCAGTCCTGTATATAGGATCACCCTTGATTTGTAATTGAATCTAAATCAATAAAAAAAAATTTTTTTTAAAAATAATTAATTTTTACAAATCTTTTTTTTAAAACAAAATGGCAACTATCGAAGAAATTAATAATGATAAAAAAATTGCACTTGAAAAATTAACAGTCACAGAGAAGAAGTTAGGGGAGTGGGAGAAGAGGGAAAAACAAAAGTTAAATGATCTGGAGAAGTTAGAAAAGGGAGAATGCAACGAAAAACAGGAGAAGAGGTGGGAAGATAAGATAGTCGAGTTGAAGAAAGAGCATGAGGAGTTGAAGAAGAAGGTGGAAGATTGGGGAGAACATGTGTGGAAGTTGCAGGATGTGTTGTTAGAATATAGCAAAGGAAAAGGTAATGAACAAATTGCGTAAAAAAATATGCAAAAAATTATTTTCCATTTATTCCATTTTATTTATTCATTCGAATGAGCATTTTTTAATTAAATATACAATCTTGTCATTAATGACAAATACTTGTTTTTTTATACTATCATTATGTCATCATTCAAATATTCCGAACCTATACTGCTTTCTCTGCAATAATTTCATTAACTTGTGCTGTCTTTCTGGCTCATTGCTTGACGAACACATTCACTTCTTTTTGAAGCTATTGCCACTTCGAGTCAAGAGGTATTAGAATAGGGTTTGTATTCATGAATACCGTTAGGGGGCCACACATGGTCACACACTATTAAAATCAAGCATTTTAAAGGGATTTTTTGCTGTTTTAATAGTGTGTAACCCCCTTAACGGTATTCATGGTATTCATGAATACAAACCCTAATTATTACCCTTTATTCACACAAATCACGTGTATCTGATATTTAATAACTGTGAATATTAATTTAACAATGAAGAATAAAAGCATATGAAAATACAGTCATGTCCAATGAAATAGATGAATACTTTAACCACAAGTCTACAGAGTGGAATATTTTTGATTTTTTGGTAGAATCTAATGAAGAACCTTTTCAACAAAAGATAGATAGGTACCTTAAGAGCCTTGAAACCATTGTTGATTGTGAAGAAGGCAAGAAGAAAGAAAAAGCGAAATATCTCCTTCAAAGATATAGAGAGGCAAGTGAAATGTTTTAAATCTTTATCAGAAGTGAGAAAATAGTGGCGTGCCAGGGACCTGTTCGGTTCTTGTCATTCAAGGCTGTTTGCCAAGCCAAAACCATGTTGGGCACAGGTGACCTGTTCGGTTGTCTGATGTTGAAAGGCTGTTTGCCTATACTTCATGAGTCCCACCGGGGCACTGATGACCTGCTCAGTTGTCCTTTCACAAAAAACCTCAATGATTCTGGAAAATTTCAAAAATGCAAAACTGAATGCTTTCACAGCAAGTGTTATTAGGTATGCCATTATGCATTTTAATTATTACACTCATAATAAGGCAGATCTATTGATATTTTTTTTTACTTTGAGTAGGCTTGGATTGTCTTCCATTGTGGATTTATCATCCGAGTTTTCAAATGGTATGCATACCTGGTTTGGAGAAGAGTGGTATAATCTGAAACGAAAAGTACAAAGTTGAATAAATATGCTACCAATGAAATTCGAAGGTTGTGTTCTTGAAAGTATTGAGAAGATTGAAAGTGTATGTAAAATAGCCTGTTGATTTATAGTTCTAATGTTTTTGTGACTAACACTCCTCTGTGACTTCTTCTGTACAGTTATGTTTAAATTATCGATATTGGGATGCGTGAGAGTATTTGCTAGATCAAATGAAGGATCGTTCGGCTATGACAATTTATCTTCAAATCATGAAGATATACTTCACAATGTACGTAAGAACTTTTCATTTCTGGTTCAGTAACTATGCCTGTAAATATTAAAACTAATTCAACCTTTTATTCTAGTGTGGATATGCTACTCAATGATCCGCATATTTTTGTAGACAAGGATGGCAACATCAGGAAATTTTTTCTGATGTAAATTTATGTAATATTATGGGGCCCACCATAAACTTACATAAATAGTGTAATATTATGCAAAAATTGCACAAAAATTATGCAATTATTACATTCAGTGTAAATATTATGTCCTTTTTATGTGAAATATTACGTCATTTCATATTAAAACTTACGGATGTAATATTACAGCGGGAAAAGTTTCCTGATGAAGGAAAACAAGCTTACAGAGATGGAGTTTGTCCTTAAGACAGTGGCCCCTGTGATGGATATTATATTTTCAGATGTCAATAAAATCATCAAGCCTTCAATGGTAATCACCTGTTTTATAGAGCATGGTTTGTTATATTTTACTATTTGCACTTCGTAATTGTAATATCAATGCATTGTAGGGGGGAACTGTCTCGAAGGCTTGTACTAGATGCAGGAAAATAGATTTGAGGATCGAAACTCAAGAGAAATGTACAGAACTCAGCCATATTGAATGTGCACAAGCGCCAACACCTGCTAAAATTGTTTGAGATCGTAGCAAAATTCTACATACTAATAAATGCATCCTTAACAACTATTTAAGATGGAATATTCCCAACCAAGATGTTGAAAATTCGGCAGTGTTTGCGTTCCAATTTGCTGGTAATATGTGCTTTGTACTGCCCGTATCAATGAATTGTATTGGTAATTTCTATTGGTATTTATTAATGCCTAATATTTTGTCACTGCATTAGGATTACATGGTCAACTTCTTGCTGTGGATAGGGTTTGTATTCATGAATATCATAAGGGGGTCACACAGGGTCACACACTATTAAAATCAAGTGATCAACTCATGTTTTTAAGGGATTTTTTGCTGTTTTGATAGTGTGTAACCCCCTTAATGATATTCATGATATTCATGAATAAAAACCCTAGCTGTGGATCTGCTTGATAATGGACTATATTTTGGTTTGGAAGGGCCCGCCTTTAAGTTTCCTTCACAACTATCCAATATAAAAACTCTATGCCAAAAATTAGAGATATTATACTTCTTCAAGGTTCGAAAAAAAATATTTTGCAATTGTTGGTTTTTTTTAATGGGGAAATCTCTCATGATACACTTGCCAATTATAGGAATGTATAATGCAGAAGGTAAATGTGCTGTTACAATTCGACAACATACAGACAAATCCATATAAAAGAGTTTTTAATAATAGTGTTGATGAGAAGCAACCAGAACCAAAACATAAAAAGTTCAAATTCATTAGATCAACATACTTCACACCATGAGGACACAATCAAAAATGAGATTTTATTGATATTATCATTATTTTATATGAATTGTATTACTTTAGCATTTATTAACTTTTACCACATGAGTTTATAGATAAAAAATTTAACAATATGTGACTTTTGTTATGCATCAGGTATATTCTTATCATAAAAGGTATTAATTAGTATAGTAAAAATGTCCAATTGATTAGATTTATATTATAAGCATAGATAAAAATCCTATCATTGGCTGTTATTGTATCACAAAAATTAAGTGAGATCAACCAATGAAAAATTGCATGTATTATTAATTTTTATTATATTATTTTTCTATAGGACTTATTAGATCAGTAAGAGAACAATATGATTCAAATTCTATAGCTTATTTTCACTAAAATCTAAATATATTGATATACTTAAC